AAACAATTTGTAAGGTGGCCGTCACATGAACAATGGTTAGAGATGGCTAATCATTGGGAGATGTTTCCAGGTGCAGTGGCTGTGATTGATGGAACGCGTCATGCAATTCAACGACCACAAACGGAACGTCAGCAAGATTTTTATAGCGGCTATTGCAGATACCACAATTTTTCCACGCAAATAATCATGGATAACAATTCCAATATTGTATACATTCAATCTGGGTTCTTGGGGCATAACAATGACAGCGGTCAATTTCAGCTGATGCCTGTCATCGGAACTGGACAAGAACTCCACTTACCACAAGGTCTCTATATTTTAGCAGACAAAGGCTATCCAAGTGTTTATCCCCTTGTCACACCATGGAGAAATGCGGCTGGGAACCTTACAAGGCGGTTGTTCAACAGAGAACACGCGAGAGTTCGGACACGAGTGGAACATTGCATCAGACGGGTGAAAGAGTATGGCGCTGTCAGTCACTTGTGGCGTCATGAACGTTGGATGTTCCCAATTGTAACCGAACTTTGCTCGTTCTTAGCACAAAGGCACATCCACATTTCACGCGTGATTTGACTTGTTTATAAGCGCTATATGATATAACACTACTAGATGAATAATGAAATGAAACTGTTGTGTTTGTTTTGAAGGTCGATATAGTATATTTTATCTAATTTTGTATTTCACAAGTATTATAATCTTTAATGCTGCACATTTGCAATTTTTGTTGCGATTTTAGGAACGATTGTCCGAGTTATGAATATTTAGATAAGGGTAAAAATATATAGTGTTTTCAAAACATAAAAAACGCATTCCTAATCAATTCTCACATAAAATCGTAGCAAAATTTGCAAGTGGCATCAATGGCTGATCATTCATAGCCTACAATTTTGTTTCATGTATATAAAGTAATGGACACAACATTTTAACATAATAATCAAGCGCGAATTAATATACTAATTAATGTTCCTCTAAGCGTCGCCTTATAAGTTCATTTGTCATCTCCATTGTCTGCTGCAATTGTTGGGTTAACAGAGGCAGATCTCTCGTTAACAGCACATTCAATGCTTCTGCATTTTCCCTTGCTAACGCGTGATAAGGGCGCCTTCCTTGAGCTACAGGAGGGACAGGAATTGCCTGAGCTTGTGCTTGTTGGAGAACTTCGTCGCGAACAGCATTTGCGTTGACGGGCGCACGTTGTTGGGGTCTTTCTCTAGCTCCGCCCAGCAGCATGTCCTCGTTTTCTCTTGCTGCGCCCAGAAGCATGTCCTCGTTTTCTCCTGCTCCGCCCAGCAGCATGTCCTCGTTACCAGCTTGGTGAAGGGGGTCAGGGTCTTGTTCTTCGCCGTTGATGCCATCTAGGGGATTTGCGTTTTCTCCACGGTTATTTTCTAGATCTCTTTCTGGGGGGTTTGGGTTTGGTAGGTTGGCATTGATTCTGTTTAGGATGGCCTCATGAGCTGCTTCTCTGTCAAAAGCATTTTGCCGATTAGCGTATCGCATCTCATTTACCCTTTCCACTAAACCGCTAAACAATGTTGAAATACGATAAATTTGCATCATACACATCGTTTTTATAGTATAAAAACACAAGCCAAGGACATTAACTAAACAGTAGAGGTCCTATACTTACTCTCTTTGTTCTCTTGCAATAAAATCGCGAAGTCTTCTTCTTGCTGCACGTCGATTTCCAACATTAGCATAGAGCTCCTGCACATTGGCAGGAATCTCGCGAAATCTCTCATGCCTCACGATATCGTTCACAATCAAGTCCCAGATCGGGCCGATCTCCATATACCGCTCATGAATCACGGCTCGTTCCACCTCGCCTATACGTCTTACTTGTCTTGGAAGCATTATTGAAACTATGGACTATGGTTTACGAGTACGTTATAACGCTAAGTTTGAAAGGCATGCATAATATGCACTGACAACGAATTCTATACTCAGTGCTATACAGTCAAGACAGCCCACATTGTGTGTTTTGTTTCAGCCAGTTTGTGTTATGTGTTCTCTATCCTCCAGGGCGTTTCAAACAATCAACGCGCTGGCGTAAACAACATTTTACTTTAAGATATGTTCACTAGTTGTTTAGCACATTGACATGAATATTTGTATGTATGAATGTTTGGCACGCACATAGGAATAATTTGCATTCATTCGAATAGGAAACATTGTTAAGAATGTTTAATTCGTTGCAATTCGTAGCTGTTTATGTATGATCATCGTCATAGACAACCAACGACGATTAATAATCAGATGATACGCAGTACAAGGAATGTCCTAGAGTTAACCTATAAACGGTGACAAAAAAACTGGCAAGAAATTTGAGTTTGAACTTGACAAAGCGTACCAGGACATGTCCGTTTTGTAGTAAGTAGGTCGTAACGAATGGGTTGTAACGTATCTCCCATAGTTACTAACTCGTCATTCGTTCACTCATTCGTTCACTCGTTCGTTCACTTTGGTTTATTCGTACATGTTTTAATATGCAAACCAATCAGCTTTCGCGATTTCAATGAAACAATTTACATACTTGCATATTCGTTCGTTCTCGTGCTTCGGTGGACGTTAACTAATAAACCTTGTGGACCTCATTCATTTACTACATATGCAGTGGGCATAATTTAATACTACATTGCATGCATAGACTACATACTAAATGAATGTTCCCTATGCCTATAAAATGACAGTTTCCAAACCATGTGTTAATCCTTGACACTTCAGGTAGGTGTTGGCAGTGGCGTGCTGGGTACTATTTTTCTGGGGGGGGCAGTGGGCTGTCAACAAATATGCGCCCCTATAATGTTTCGCTTAATAAACGAGGGCCGAAGGCACGAGCCGAGCGCCGCAGGTGTGAGGTTTGTCTAGGGGGGTCCGGGGACATGCCCCCAGGAAAATTTTTGAATTTAGAGTCTCTGAAATGCCATTTCCTGGACTTTGGGGGAAGATTTGACAGAAACCTGATGGTCAGGAAACGGCATTATAACGTGTCGAAATTTGCAATTTGGTTTGAATTTAGTAGTAGTATAGTACTTATATTATGCAAGGCCAACAACTTCCAGCGATTAATCTAATCCCAATTCTATTCTCTACTGATCTAGTGATCTGAAGACAATTACAACATACAGCTCTTTTATACAATAACACACGGACCCCACGCATTTTAAGGTTTCCCTGCCTGGCTGCCAAAAGGGCGCGTTTCAGCATTACTTCCTTACTCACATTACTCATGATGTTTCTAGCGCAAACAACTAAATTACGTACACAACTTTACATTATCATAACTTAAACTATCTAATTTGCGCCGCTCTTGTGATTCGTGAAGCATAATAAAGGGCATAATACCAGCAAAAAAGGGCATGATTCCCGTGATCGCTTCGAAACCTGACCAATATTCCGGTGATGAGACATTGCGTGTGATCACAGTTCATATTTCTATGTGAACGATTTCGTGTGTGTGAGCCGTGAGGTAGCAAATTACTGCAAATACGGTTAGACAAAACTGAGTCTGTGTAATTTAATATATCACTTTGTCGCCTATGCGCTTAGTCTGTTTATAAGCCTATAAACACATCTTTTCTCGGCGGAAGTATATTTTTTCCCACCCACTTTCAATACTCGGCGCGGGATCGGCGCCCCCTTTTCATTTTTGCGCCCTGCAAGAATTGCCAGCTGGGGGGCCGTGGCCCCCCGCCCCCCCCCCCCTGCCAGCACGCCACTGGGTGTTGGGATATACATTCACTTTGGTTTAGTATTTACTACGAAATGTTGAAATGTTTTCAATATTTATATCATCAATTTATCGTAGTTGAACTATATTAATTAATAATCTTAATAAGTAATGTATTGATGCATGACTAAAAATAGAAGTGGTTTAATATTTTTTTTATACTTTCCCTTCCCAGGGGGATATCACAAGATAACAAAAAGGCTGCATTCCGTGAAGCATACAGCAAGTTATATGAACTCAGGTCATTAGCACCAAATGTTCCAGTGATTGCCCTAACAGCTACAGCAACACATCTGACTAAAGAATGCATATTGAGTATTCTATGCATGGATGACTGTTCTAAAATTGAAGAGAGTCCAAATAAGCTGAATGTATCATATGCTGTGGAGTGTATGCACAAGCTAGGACACAGAGTTGGAGTTTTATTTTACTTGGCTAGCTGATGAGTTAAAGTCTAAAGAAAAGCAATGTGAAAGGACTATTATATACTGCCAGACAATCGAGCAATGTTCTATTATATATGCCACCCTTAAGGGAATTTTGGGGAATTATATGTTTGCCAGAGAAGACAAGAGTGTTCTTATGGAAATGCTTCACTCCTGCACCCCAGAAGATAACAAAAAATGTATCCTTGAATCTTTTCAAAATGTAAACGGAACAATTCGAATTTTAGTTGCAACTATTGCTTTCGGCATGGGTGTTGACTGTAAGGCAGTTCATCGTGTCATACATTATGGACCATCAAAAACCATCGAAGCATATGTACAAGAGACTGGACGTGCTGGAAGAGATGGGGTGCAGAGCAGGACATTCATTTTATATCATGGAATTCTTCTAAATCATGTTGACATGAACATAAAATCATTTGTCAAAACTAAAGATTGTAGGAGAAAAACTCTTCTGAATCATTTTGAAGCTGATTGTAAATTGCCACTTTATCTGCATCTTTGTTGTGACAACTGTGCATCTATTTGTGAATGTGGACAAGCAGACTGTGGGCAGTATACAAAATACCCAATCACTGATTGTTACAAGGATGTACTGTTTAGTGGGAGGAAACGAGAAGTTAGCAATGAGCAAAAGAAGTTGATTGAGAATGCTCTGATACAATACCAGAAGAAACTTCTTATTGAACTTGCTAACACAACTGCAAAAGCAGAAATCAAAACTTTAACAAACATTCGACTCATGTTAGGGTTTTCTGAACATCAGATAACTCAAGTTTTGAATAGCATTGATCAGATTTTTACCATGTCTGATGTTTGTAGTGCTGTCGAAATTTGGGACAAGAGACATGCAGAAAAGATATTAAACATTATCAACAGTGTATTTGGTGACCTACTGGTACATGAGCATTTGCATGATTCAAGAGGTGAATCTGTTTTGGATATGTACGAGTTTGATGACGAACTACTTGATGATTGGCAAGAAATTCTTCAAGATAATGACATGTTTGATATGATTGTAGAAAATTTGTCACTCTCACAATTACAGGACTCATTAATAGATGAGCGTGACATGTCTTCAGACTCTCAAGATGAAGAAATCATTGTATCTGTGTTAAAGTAAAACTGAAATTCAGTTGTACAAAT